GCTTATTTTAGGATGGTAAACTGTTGATGGCAGCCGCAGCCGCTTTTCCTTCTTTGACAGCTGACACAGTCTACTGTTTATATATATACAATAAAAAAAAGGCAGCAGCAGCGGCTGGCAAAACCAGCAGCGGCTGGCAAAACTAGCAGCAGCTGCTCCTTCGTTGAACATGCAGGATAAATGCATGTCATTGTATTAAAGAAAAAAATCCCCTGAATTGTTTCAAAAGAAAAAGACCAAACTGTTGCATCCAAGGCACCTAGGAGCTGTGGACAATGAAGATTGGCATGCCATGTGGACACATGCGGCAAACATTTGTATGATAGTGTATCAGTGACACTCCGCCTCTTGTAACTTGTCTTTGGACATATGCCAAAAGTCCGAGATGATGATCCAATCATGGTATTTTAATGGAGTGTTTGGTTTGGTGAACCCATTCGATCTAGATGTGGTGATGGCGTGATGTTGATGCATCATGAGTCCTTTCCTAAATTTTAGTGGACTGACTTCATCTCTCATACTAGTACTAATTATTAGCATGTAAGAAATGAGGTGGTGATGAATCAACATATTCCATCTCACAAACCAAATAAAAATTCCTAAAGAGTGAGATGATGATGACTACTCAATTCCACAAACCAAACACCCTCAGGTCTTGTTTGGATGCGCATGTATTCATCTCAATCCACATATGTTGTGAATTGGGGTGAATACACGTTAATCCAAACAAAGCCTAAAAGAGCAATAAATCCAACCTAGGTGCGGATCCTCTTCCTCGTTCAAGAAAAATGTTACCTTAGAAGTGAACCGTTAAATTCAATGCATGATGGGAGAAAAAAGACCTCCGATAACTAGAGCCTAACTTAGTTGTTTAGTTTTTTTTTGTGGAATCTGAAAAATCAAGTAACTATGTAAACGAATATGTTTTGACTGTGATTTGCCAAAAAAACTACAGATAAGACTGGTCAAATATCCTAAATAGCAGCTATTGATGGCATTGAGTATATGGAGGAAGAACAGCTGGTTTACATCTATATCTGGCCATCTGGCACGGGCACTACGGGCCGGCCCAGGCATGACACTAAGAAGCACGGCCCAGGCATGGCCCGGCCCGGTTGTAGTGTCGTGCCTGGGCCGCAATGTCGGCCCGCAGTGCCGGCCCAGGCACGGCCCGTTAAAGGCGAGGCACGGCTGCCTCTGAGCCGACGAGGCGGGCGAGCCGTTGATGCCCCTCCCCCGCTCCTGTCGACCGTTGGATCTGGCCATTGGAGGGGGAGGGGTATATAACTGGCCTCGCCCCCGTCGCCCCATATCCCCGGTCGCCCTAATTCATTTTCACCGGTGCTCTCTCTCTCTCTCTCTCTCTTGTCTCGCTCTCCTCTCTGGCTCTCTCCTCTGCGACTGCGACACAGCGACGACGACTCTCCTCTCCTCTCTCGCCTCCGACCTCCTCTCTTTGTCTCGCCCTTCGGTGGCCTCTTGAGCCACCGCTGGCCGGCACTGGCACACGGCACAGCCATGTATACCCCTCTTCTTGATCTCGCTTCGTCATTGTAACCTCATCCTACTAGTCATCTCCGTGTCGGCGGTCGTCACCGTCGTCGACCTCCTTGGATCCGTGCTTCGTCGACGTCGTCGGTGATTTTGGTGCTCCGGTTGTGAAGGTACGACTAGCCCTAACCCCAACCCTTGCCCTAACCCTAGACCTGTACTAACTCTTTGTTTTTCTAAAGCCATTGAGGAACCAGGGATTCTGGTGCTCCGGCTGTGAAGGTATAACTAACCCTAACCCTAACCCTTGCCCTAACCCTAACCCTAACCCTAGATCTGTACTAACTCTTTATTTTTCTGAAGCCGTTGAGGAACCGAGGCGCCGACGCATGACGATGGCTGGATCCGACGACGACATGGTTGAGGTCGGTACCAACCAAGAGAGGCAGTTGTGCGGGTTGGTCGGAGATGATGATGAGGACGACCTGCGCGAGGATGCCGAGGAGCTGTTCGGCCATAGCGTTCAAGCTCCCATCGATGTCAGCGATGATCAAGAAGGCAGGGAAGCAAATGTCGGGGAAGGGGACGAGATTAGTGCCAAACACTCACGTCCCTCTACCTCGGCAGTGTGGCTGGATTTTAAGAAGCTCTTCAAAAAATGAATGGTAAGAAAGTCAGGTATGGAGCTAAGTGCATCCATTGCTCTAAGGAATACTCTACGCTCTCTAGTGGTGGCATTGGTCAACTCATCCGGCATAGGGATAAATGTCCTAGGAGGCGTGAAAAAACTCACATGTCTCAGTCACAGATCTCTTTTAATCCTGATGGTAGTATGCGTAATTGAGAGTACTGTCCTATTGTTGCTCCCACTCAACTGATTCAATTGCTTGCTAGGCTTGATGTTCCTGTCCCTTTGGGAGAATCTGATGCATTTGAAGAGTACATTAGAATTGCTTATAATCCTAATTATGTTCTAGTCTCTAGGCAAACCATCACTAGAGACATGCTGAAATACTTCACTGATTACAAGGCTAAGCTTGTTGAGACTGTTAGTTCTGTTGGTGTTAATTATGTGTGTCTAACCTCTGATATTTGGTCTGGTAATGCCAAAGAGGACTACCTTAGTGTTGTTGGTCACTACATAAACTCTGATTGGCAACTAGAGAAGAGAGTGCTTGGTCTTAGGCTTATTGATTGTTCCCACAATAGACAAAACATTGTTGATCGTGTTGCATCTATGCTTGTTGATTATGGTTTGACTGAAAAAGTGTTTGCTATTACTTTGAACAATGCATCATCTAATGTATCAGCCATGCAAAGACTTAGACATGTTCTTTCTAAATATCTTGGTATTGAAGTTGTAGATGATGATAGTGAAGAATTAGACAAAGACAATGCATCCCTTAATACAGTTAATTGTATGTTCTTGCATCAGCGTTGTGCATGTCATATTATCAATCTGATTATTAAGGAGGCCCTAACTGCTCTTAAGCCTTTGATTGAAACATTTAGAATTGCAATATCTTTCTTAAACTCATCTAACCGGAGAATTGTTTGCATATAAAAGTTACTTGTATTTGCCCTTTGGTGTTAGGCCTAGAAAGTTTCAATTTGGACATGGAAGTTAGGTGAAATTCTACATATCTAATGCTTAAGCATTTATTTCCTCATAAGGCCCCATTCACTACTTTCACGCATGCTCAATATCCTAGGGATCTGTGTGCTCGATTGCTTTTAACCTGATGACCATTGGGCTATGATGAAAAAGTGCTTAAATTTTTGAACTGTTTTATGATTCTACAGTTGCATTGTCTGGTGTGTACTATCCTACATCTCCACTTATGATTCATTATCTTGTTAAGATTGCTATACACCTAAAGAATTATGCTAATGATAGTCACATCAGACCTGCGGTTCAACCTATGATAAACAAATATAATAAATACTGGAGGGACATACATTTGCTTTATTCTTTTGCATTCATCCTGGACCCTAGAGCTAAAATGAAAGGTTTTAATAGAGTGCTTAGGAGGTTGGGTAACCTTACTAGTACAGATTATACTACTTACCAGTTGGGCACTAGAGCTTGACTTACTTATGTCTACAATAAGTATGAGGAGAAATATGGAGCTGTTAGGTTGAGGAGGACTGTCCCTTCTAACCTATCTGGTAAGAAAATGTCTGCTTGAGATGAAATTTATGATGATGATGATGATTGTGGTTCTGCTGGTGGTATGCATCCTCTAGCTGCTACTCTAAGCATGGCTAGAGATACCTCTACAACTGTCCTGCTGTAGGATGTAAGTTCTTCAGCTTCTAATGCTTCTGAACTTGTTTCTTACTTGGACTGTAATACTGTGAACTAGTTAGATGATGATTTTAATATCTTGAACTGGTGGCATCAGCACAAACTCATATATTCAGTGCTGTCAATCATGGGTAAAGATGTTTTAACTGTTCCTGTGTCCACCATATCTTTAGAAGCCACTTTTAGTATGCCTGGCAGGATCATCGAGGAGCGGTGGAGGAAGCTAAAGCCTGAAATGATGGAGATGCTGATCTGCATCAAAGATTAGGAGGCTGCAGAAGCAAGGCTGCAACACATGGTGGAGGACAAGGACCGTGAAGAAGCATTTGAAGAACTTTATCTTGATTAATTATCATTTATGTAATGGGGCTGTAATATTATGGATTGGACTTTGATGTAAGGACAATGAACTTTATAATTAGAGCTGGGTTGTACTCTTTTATCCTGTCTAGGGTTTCTCACATGGGTGAGTTTTACTTAGACATATTTTTAATGAGGTAGCCATTGCACTAAAGCTCCCTATATCGTTATTATTTTGTTATCTCTCTTTTGTGTTTTACATTATCTATCTTTGTGGAATGTAAGTTTTGTGCTGTTTATTGTAGGTTTGATCTCAATTCAATAAATAAAGTGATATATCTCCTTGTATATCTCAATTTTTATAGAGTACTGTGCTCATTCTGAGTCAGTTGGGGGTCAGGCACTTTAGTGCCCGTGCCGATTTCTGAGCTTCTGCGGTGCCACTCTTGTGCTTTCGATGACCGACACGCACGACAACGTCTAAGCACTTATAGTGCCATGCCTGGATCGGTACTTCGGTACGGCGGCACTAATAGACACAGCACGGCTAACCTATCGTGCCGCGTAGTGCCGTGCCTGGCCGTAGCCGTGCCCGTGCCATGCCTGACGGCCCGTTTGGCCAAGTATATTTACATCACGTATTCCACCTATCCATACTACACTGAACCCCGATCATTTAAACCAGTCAAACCTCACTATCTTGTACTGTAGCTACTAGCTAGCAGCCACAAAGAGCTGGCCATCAGTTGCAAGTTGGGTTACCTGTACACCCGGCCCTTCATGTCCTACTCCATTGATCTAACATGACTCAACCACTGCACCTACACCCTTTTCAGTTGCAATTCTTGCTTCTTCCCTGATCACACGGTTCATGCCCCTGTGGCCTTTAGTTTGTTTGTTTTCAGACGGCTTCAAGCTCGTCTCCGGGGCCACTGCCTGCTGTGAGGCTCTTCCGGACGCTGTCGGCGTCGGCAGCGGACAGGTCGGCGACGGCCACCTCCTTCTTCTTCTTGGTGTACTCGCCGTAGAGGTAGGAGGCGAGGCCCCAGGCGCAGAGCGCGGTGGCGATGCCCTTCTCGGCGCCGAACGGGTCGCCGAACACAACGACGCCGCCCAGCACGTTCGCCGTGAGCACGGCGGTCATGCACACGCCGCTGTGGAGCGACGACGTCAGGTAGATCACGCCCGCCGTGCCCATGAAGCACGCCTGCCACGTCAGCACCAGCGTCGACACCACGGCCCAGTACAGCGCCGCCGAGCCCTTCCAACGCGCCACGTCCCAGTCCAGGCCGCCCTTCGCCGCCAGCCCGATCGCCGCCACCAGCGAGGCCATGGCCTGCATCACTGCCTGCACCTCCACGGCCAGGACGAACCCGCCGGACACGGCCTGGCGGTACAGGAGCTCCATGACGGGCAGGTACGCGGCGAACAGCCCCGCGGCGCCCAGCGTGACCACGTATCCGACGAAGTAGTGCGCCGCGCTGCCCCCCTCGGGGTTCTCGCCGGAGTCCCCCGAGCGGAGCGCCAGGAGCACGGAGCTGATGGTCAGGAGGACGACGGCATTGAGGTTCACGAAGGTAAGCGGGTGGCGGACGATGATGGCGGCCAGCACGAGCGTGAACGCCAGCTGCGTCGACAACAGCAGCGACGACGTCGACACCGGCAGGAACGACGTGCTGTACGAGAAGAGCAGGTTGTTGGCGCCCATGAGCGCGCCGATGACGAGGCATACCGTGAGGAACCGCCTCGAGAACCACGTGAACGGGCGCGGCGCGACGGCAGGGCGGCCGGCGAAGAACACGGAGATGACCAGCAGCGGGAAGCCCGCCGACTGCACCAGCGTCACCACCCACCGGTTGCGCCCGCCGTGCGCGAAGTAGAACCTGGACAGCAGGCTCGACGCGACGGACCCCACCAGCAGCGCGGCGTAGTTCGCCGTCAGGAGCAGCAGCCGACGGCGTGACGCCGAAGCCGTCGGACCGGCGATGGCTCCACCCGCGGCTGTTGCCATTGTCGGAGACGACTCGTCGAGGAGGAGGGTCGGATGGCGGCGGTGGGCGACGTCGCGGCTGCGCGTGGATTTTGCGCGATGATGAGAGGAGATAGACACTCGAGGTAGGGTATTGGGGGAATATATAGATAGGACCGATGCATCGCCCGGTTGGCTCGTCTTATAAATCGTATTTTTTCAGTCAATGAATAGTATTTTTCTCTCACAATAAATCAGTCAACGGTACTTTCAGTCATGGCTTATCAGCCAAGCGAACAGGACAATGCTCTTTCCTTATAATTGTAAGCAATTTTTTCCCCTGAGCACGTGACTTGGCGATATTTGATTTTCAGTTACCTTTTCTCTTTTGCGGGAAAAAAGGAAATAATGCACTACTCCCTCCATCCCAAAATACATGATGTTTTTGACTTTACATCTTGACTGTTCGTCTTATTTAAAATTTTTATATAAATATTATTTATTTTGTTATGGCTTATTTTATCATTAGAGATGCTTTCATAATGACTAGTTTATTTTAGTATTTGCACAAAAAAACTGAATAAGACAAATGGTCAAAACATGATATTTAATAAAAGCAAAAAAATGTCATCTATTTTGGAACGTAGGGAGTAGTTGTTAGACAAGTTTTTTTTTCTAATTATGAAATTTTATTCACATGCCATGAGTTCGCTTACACAAGAAGGATCACTACTATGTATCCACAGCTCCACAATGCTTTGATCTCCTTGCTAATTGAGCTAAGCTATAACAACATCTCCAGAAGTTCTCCTAAATTTATTTTTTCCTAATAAATCTTCATATGGGATACATTCTCACAAAAAAATCGTCCTTTCTAAATATTTCTCTTCTCCAACACTTACATTTATCTCAAATAATATAGGTTGGACAACATGAGATGAGAGAGGATAATTTAGGATACCACCAGATATAGGATGTTGAATAGTTGGAGGATGATTTTTGTTACATAGTAAACCTTAATAATTTTAGCTTATAAGGGATTAATAGAGGAACTCTCGGAGATGCTCTAACTCATGAGCAGCTGCATTGCACTTTTTTAAAAAAAAAAAACTCACTCTGGATGTAGAAGAACCCATGCCTGAATTTCCTTTTGGTATGTGCCTATCCAAGATCTTCCTTCTTGATTCGACATTAAGGATGTTATCACCCCGATTACGGAGTAAGTACAAATTTATTTGGATCCTATACAATCGTTTGTTTGAATCCAATATTGCTAAACTAGCTAGATTTAAAAGAGGCAAAACATTTAATACGAGAAAATAACTGCAAAGTCAATAATTCTTATAGCTACTAGGTAGAGTAGAATATCTATATGATGACAAAGCAGTCCATGCATTGAATATAATCGCCGTGTCTAAGCTATCTGCATTCTGCAAGATGGTTTCAAAACGGATCGAGTAGCGCATTCATATAGTGCTACTGCTCAAGCTTCAAGGTGTAGTAGAGATCAAATCGACCAATCTTTAGTATAGCGCATGCCATAATTTCAGTCAAAATTGAACGATTTATGGTAGTAGCTAGCCGGCTAGCCGCTACGCACATGCCATATGGAATTCATTCATGACCGGCCATTGAACTCGTTTGAAATTGGATGATTTTGTTTCAACTTGGGGCGGTGGAGAGATTGTGCTTGGGTTGGAATCGGAAAGGGAAAAAATTAAAATTGGGTGGATGCATGCAATGCAAAACGGGATGGAAATCATGCTTTCTTTCTCGATTTGTTTGCTGGTCCGGATTGTCTTCTATCTATTTCCAAGAGGGGTTATTAAATTACATGCATGCATGCAATTATGCAGAGCAGGAAAGAGCATGAGATGGCGGCTCGCCAAACGTTCACGTGCTGTACACGTGCTGTGTTTTGTGCGACGGGTGTAAGTGTAAGCATGTGCCGGAAACCCGAGATGAGAAAACCATGGCGTCCTTGCGGTGTCTGAGAGGGAAGTTTGCTTACACAAAGGCAGAAATTGGAACCATGGCTCTAGCTGTTCTCTTTTACCGATCGACATTGCCTGCTGGCACATGCATGCTTGCACAAGTGCAGAATCGGAAGTTGAACTTCGCAAAGCATAAAAAGGAATGGAAGTGTCATATTGTTCTGGAATTTTACCGTGCCCTCTGTTCGACAAGAGTGTACACAATGTACTTGTGGTTAGAAAAAATAGAAAAGGTCGACGTAGGCACAGGTTCCGAGCAAACGAGTCCTGTACGAGTGTACGACCAGGAGCCAGAAACCATCCACCACATCATTCGACCTGTTCGCTGGTTAGTTTCTGGGTTGATTTGGGCTGGCTGGTGCTAGTTTATTATAAGAGAAAAACACTGTTGACTGACTGATTTAGGCTGGCTGAAACCAACGAGCGAATAGGCTGATTGTCTCCTACTTGTTCTTCAAATAAGTTTGATGGGACATCCTTGTGGCGTTAGGACAAAACATGCCACAAGGAGCAGCCAGCCTTACCACGATCCTCGACTGGTGGAGAGCGTTTGGAGCCGATACAACAAGCGTGGTGTAGACACCCTGTTCACCCTGGTAGCTTGGGAGTTGTGGAAACAGAGGTGCATAAGATGTTTCCATGGCACAAACACGCTACTGCTTCAACTACTTACTATGATCAAATTCAAAGCCCTCCTCTCCGGACGCCGTCGCTACCCTACGACGTGCGGCTGTGGTGGCCTGTGGCGGACCCAAAAAAAGACGCCCGTCCGCACCTTCCCCCCCCCCTTCCCCTCGCTCCTCCACCCCTCCTTCCACCTCTTCAACTCCAGCGACGAACAGGATCCGGGCCTCTAGGGCTGGATCTAGTGTCTGCTAGCCGCGTCCGGCCATCCGCCCACCCAACCTCCTCCTTGACGATGGCCGGCGGTGGCTTCGTTCGGACGGCCGGAGGCGGCTCTGGGGCCGCGCGCCTGCCTCCAGCGGCGGCCGGCCGTTCGGATCCGGGCCGCCTAGGGGGGATCTCGCACTAGATGCACCTAGCCTGTGGCCCAACCGCTCCTCCTCGACGACAGCGGACGGGCAACCTACGCCCCTCGGCGTCTAGCGGTGCCTGACGAGGCCGGCGGCCTAGCTAGGCCGCCTGTCCGTCCGTGCCGATCGGAGGATGGCAGCCAAGGCCGGCAGCAGCCTGGCTGCGCCCGACGGCGGTGGCGGCCTGGCTGGGCCCTAGCTAGCCAGGCCGTGGTCGGCCTACCCCAGGGCTGCCAGATTTGGAGGCCGGATGGCCGCTGGTCGTGGCTGGATGGCTGCCAGTTTTGTCTTTGCCTCTCCAGTGCATTCAAGGCGACTAGCGGTGGTCTGTGTCGGGTCGGCCGGTCCAGTGAACATTTTTTTGGTGAAAACTCTGCCCGGCGTCTTTGATTCGGGCCGGCGACTATGGTACAAATTGTGCCATCTACCTTCTTGACGGCGCTGTTGAAGTTTTTGTTCGTCGCCTGGGTCGTTGCAGGCGGTTCTACGACGAAAGTCTTTCTCGTGCTCTTCGTGCACCATTGTTGGCATCTATGGTTGCCAACCCCTTCTTGGAGGCTTCGTTGGAGCACTTTTGTCGCCGTCCCACCTCTCTCGGAGTTGCTCCTGGCTATGTGTGTGCCTGAGTGTGCATCAACTCTTTCTTCGCTTTGGTCTATCCAGCTCGGATGTTTGGTGTTGCTGCGGACACTTGGCCGCTTGCACTCTTCTCGGTGAATGCTTTGTCGTCGTTGCTGCCTAGGCAAATACTTTGCTGTCGATGTCTCTCCCCTCTTGCGAATACTTTTCCACGTGGTCTTTGGCGGATGCTTTGTCGCCGTGCTGCTTGTTGATCTTGTTCGGGTGAATACTTTGCCACCGTGATCGTCTCTTTTTAGTGCATGCTCTATCACCACGGCTTTATCTCCCCTATTGGCAGCCTCTGCGTTGTTATTTTCCTTGCAGGTCCTATCGGTTAGGTTGTGGCGGAGGGCCTTCTCCCTACCGCGCTTCTTTAACCACTGCCTGCGTGGTTCTTTAAGCTGCGCTATAGCTTCTCTCATAGCTGCGTCGTGTAAACCGTTCTTTCGGCACTCTCTTCTTCTTAATGAAATACATGTGAAGTCGTGTTCTTGAAAAATAACATGTAAATTTTTTTGAAGGGTCACATACTTTCTTTAGCACAAATAAATAATTTATTTATTCACAAAAAATATTTTAAGAAGCTTTTTCATATATAAGAGTACTGATAAGCCGATAAACATGAGCGCTAAAATATATAGGCCCTGTTCGCTTGTGTTACGAGCCATACTGTTTCAGCGAAGGAATAATATTTTTCTCTCACAATAAATTAGCGAACAGTACTTTCAACCATGACTTTTCAGCGAAGCGAACAACAGATAAGTCTAGATTGCCATCTATCGTTTTAAATTATCATATAAGTACCAAATAATCTTTGATTTTACCATCCGCTATATCAAACATTCTTCTACGAAGTTCCTAAAAAAACATTCTTCTGCGAACGATTCATGAATACTGTACCAAATTGATATGTTGCTAGTAGAGAAATGACCATCCTCCTGTTAGATATTATGGGCTTGGCCCATTTATTTAATAACTCTATTAAACTCTATGGTTCGTACATGTGCATTAATGGTTTTATACCATATGGGAATTTAATCGAGAGGCGACTCTACTTAAATACTTGGTCATTGGCCGATCTATTTGAGAAGTAAAAGTGGATCACTGGATGCCACCTGGCCTTGCCTGCCGCCGCCGCCGCCCGGCCCGAGCCCGTGGGCGTGGCGAGGCGGCAAAGCGGGCTGGCGGCAATGAGCGGACGGGCAATGGCGAGGCCTTTATTTTTGGCCCAGCAATTGATAAGAATTGATTGGAGGAGTTTCGGTAACTCCGTGACTCTGGCTCTCCGTCTCCGTCTCCCCCCGCGAAGGAGGTGTGACCCCTCGGTGCCGTCGGCTTCTCGTTTTCGGCCTCTGCCTATAAAACAAATCCTCTCCTCTCGGTTAAGCTCTCT